GCTTAGCAGCTTAAATATCATGGATGAAAAAAGACTACAGATATAAAGACAGATCCAGACGGAAAAAACTCTAAACAGGTTATAATCTGTTTAACAATGTGCATAGGCCTAAAAAAAGAAAATGGATATAGACAGTCATAGAAAGAAAGAGTTTAAAATCAATAAAGTCTTTAAAGAGAGAAGAAAAGTAATATAAAAAGAATAAGCTACATAGAGATGGGAAATACTCAGGAAGTCTGGATCCTGTATGTTACCATGTTGATTTTGAAATTTTTGATTGCTGCTAAGCAAAGGACAGCTACTAAAAGACCTAGAATTGAAAGAGGACTGCTGAAATCAACAAGCCTGAATACTTTACAAATGCTTTAACTTTAAGATGAAACTAAAAAATGTATTTGCAAAGCAGAACTTAAAAGATACATTGCATTGGAGAAGAGGTTTTGTTTTTGTTCCCACGGGAAACAAGAGGCTGTGGATTCCTTCAGGATTGATATGGATCACATTTGATCAGGAGAGACTTCCTGAATCATGATATGTGTTATCTATCAACAAAGGTTATAACTGGTCTTCCCAGTACTTAGTCATCATCTCAATTTTATCAGCAACCCCTAAAGATGCTTTCTTCCACAGATGACAGGAAGCAGTCTAGAACACAGTGCCCACATTCCCAAGAGATGGGATGGGTGTTCTTTGGTTATTTGGTGGGTTATGGATGTTTGTTATCATTTAGGGGAACATAGTATTATAGGATAAAAGGACAACTATTAATCTCAGATATTTTGCTTTGGCATGGATTTTGAAATATTTATACAAATTTAGTTACTTTGCTATACTGTATATATGTTTCTACTCTTGTTTGGGTTATTAGGCTTCATTTAAAATGCAATGTATAATTAAGAGATGAGGTTAGTAGTTAATCTATAATAATTAAACTTGTAGTTAAGTTAGGTATGTTTTCAAGGTTAAACAGCTATATTTTAAAAGAGTTGATCTTCAAGCACTTAAAAAACCTATAAAATATGGCTTTTACAATATTTTCTAAACCTAAGGTTTTTCATGTTAATGAGACACATCTGCTCATGGCAGCACCAGTTTACTTCATAAAAGGATGATGAACATTGAATAAAATCCACATGGAGTTTTCTTTCAGTGGGGTAACACTAGCCATTTGGGTAAGAAACTGCTCTTGCCTGGACTGCTCGACACTATTCTGTACAGAATACACAGTCAGGACCCATAGGCAAGTGACTGGTGAACTTTGCCAGTCCTTCAAAATTTCTGCTTCATAGAAGAGTCTGCCTAATATTCTAGGCCTGTAAGCTGAAGATGGATGCCTCAATACTTCAGAGGAACTTTGGATGACTGTTCATGCAGCCAAATGTCTCTGTTGTTAGGTAATATCATATCCCTCATGGGTCTTTTATGGAGTTGAAGACTAGATAGTTATAGCTGCAGTTTTCCTTAGTTATGATAGAAAGTAAATTAGGTATAAAACTTGGATTTACTAAGATAGCTAATGGATTATTTTCTTTGAATTTTCTAAATACAAATGAACTGAATATTGTAAATGCAATTCTTACTTGGTAACTTTTTGTTATATATAGTTTTAGTATGTTAAAGTTAAAACCTTTCATGTTTATTTAAACAAAAAGGGGAAATGTTTTGAAATATTAGTTGAAAATGTGTTACATTCGTGTATGTTATGGAACACTTGTTTAATGATGAAAATATGTATTGCATTCTTTCATGTTGCATTTGTTTTAACTCTGTGAAGCTGTGTTACTTTGTCTGTCCAAAATGCCTGACTGGTTAAATAAATAGCTGAACAACCAATAGCTAGGCAGGAGAAATGATAGGTGGGGCTGGCAGTTAGAATAAATATGAGGAGAAATAAAGATTGAGGAGTGAGGGATAAGGAGGAGGACTCCAGGGGCCAGCCACCCAGCTACACAGCAAGCCACAGAGTAAAAGGTAAAGAAAGGTATATAGAATAGAGAAAGATTAAACCTTGGAAGTGAAAGGTAGATCAGATAATTCAGGCAAAGCTGGGTGGAAGCAAGCCAAGGCCAGGCATTCATAAGTAAGTATAAGTCTCCCTGTGTGTATTTATTTGGGAGCTGGGTGGCAGGCCCTAAAAGAAAAACAAGTCAAAGGAAAGAAAAATCCAACAACATACTTGCGTGATTATAAGAACAGGAAGAACATCTTGTACTAGGGATAGTACTTAAAAGTACAAGTCCAACAACTTTTGTCTACTTAAGACTATTTTCCTTTTAACAATGTTACATTGTAACTTTCACTCTTTCCAAAACAGTGCCTTATATATTGTATCTCTCAGATATTCAAGATACTTATAAGAACATGTTTACTGATTTATTTTTGATGTGCTTTTTAGATGTATTAAGTGAACTTCAGTACAAAAAGCACATTTGATTGTTATGTGCAAACATTTAATTTATTAGTGGAAATACCTACTCCATATTCATAATTTTCTAGGTTTAATTCACTGTATGAAAGTACAGTATTGTTCACATTTATTAATCATTTTGTACTTCAAACATTCTGCTGTAAATACAAATGGCTGACTCTGAATGGTTTTAATGCAGTTCTTGAAGTCATTCAAATCTGTCATCAGATATGAATTGTATTACGTTTGCTTTTATAACCTAACTTTTAGATAACTTATTAAGTGACATTAGTCATTTAGTAATGTAGTTCTAATTCTACTAAAGACAAAATTAGACATAACTATAAAAGAGATAATTTTGGGAATTAGGATCTCATTAAGAATTTCTAAAACTTGTAGAACAAAATGATAATCACCACATGCACTTTCAACTAACTTAAATACATTGTCAACGTGTTGGGATCAAAATATCTTAAAAACATTTCAAACCACTCTGGAAACTCAGAGAGAAGCTATTAAATTTGTTTTCATTTCCTGGTTATCTTAAATGTCTACTTACTTTCTATGAAGGTTAGTAGACTGAGTTCTTCAGATGCTAGCAGCTATGTTTTTCACTTAGACTTTAACTATTTATTTTACAGCATGTTTTAATTATTAACTGTCTATTAAATGGTTGATTAAAAAGGTGCAAATGTTTTAACTATGTATTCTGGACCTGGGTTGGTTGTTTTAGTTGACTTATGACTGGTAGAAAAGTATAATTTCTTTCAAGTACATTTTGTTAACTGTATGAATGAAAAGTGCCCATGTTCTATTAACAATTGTTGTTTCCAATGGGAATATATGAACAGGGAAGTAATAAACCAGCAAACTATGGAACATCAAATGTCTAAGGGAAGGCAATCAGAAAATACTCTGTTTTAGAAGGCACATCAAATACATTATTCATAATGCTATTCACAATTTACTGTGAAGTCTGCTAATCTCCAGTGAAAATATTTCAATTGTTTGCAAGTACTTCAACTGTCTAGTCCTGGTATACACATTAGAAAATGTGCCAGGTATAGTATTTATTTGTATACATAGTCCATGAAAAGCTCATTTTGTTATCATAGTTTAGAGAAATCAATGCCTTGCACTTGGAAATTTGTTTTTAATGTAAATGTAGTCTATTTTGTAGATATATTTTATCTTGTCACCCTTAGTTAGAAAAAATAGTTCATAAATGCCATGATTTTAACCACTAAATGATAACTACATTCCTCAAAATTTGTAAACTTTAAAACCATGCTATCTCTTCACTATAAATACCAAAAGAATAAAATAAAACATATTTAAATGTTTTCATACTAAAATAAACAAAGGTTCATTTGAGAGAAATAATTGGAAAAACAAGAAAAAAGAACTCTTTATATTTTAAAGATTTTACCTGAGCAATAAATACTCTTTTATTACTTACAATTGATCAATATTAACTTTAAGTTTATGTAAGAAAAATATAAAAACCATACTTGCTGTTTCTAGGAAGATGTTGTCTCTTGGGAAAACCCATAAAACTGTTCTCTATTAAAGTAAAAGCATTAAGGATATAATTTTGTACTTCTGTTTTGGCTATTTGAATCTGTGCTATACTCTAAATGTATAGCTATATTTACTTACTTATTTTATGGAAAACAAATTATATGAAGCTGAACATTTGTAAATAGACATGAAAATCAAATTAAAGCTTATTTACCTTGTCTAATTATAAAAGGGATAAAATTCCATGTATATCAAATTATTTATGCTTTCTTGATAATGTTTTGGTAAAGTTGCTTACAAAATAACAACTTTGTTATTGTCAAAAATAATTCTCCATATAATTTAGCAATCTTAATTTTTGCATGTAATTTAGACTATTAGAGGAATTATTTGGTAAAATATAGGCTTACTTATTATAAAGAAAAATAAGATAAACAGTTTAAACTTAAGTTAGATAACCTATTAAGGGGGCTTTGTTTTCTGGTATGTCACCAAAATAACTCACCGGCTATTTATTTAAAAATGAATGAGAATTTAGAATCCCAAAACAACTTCAAATACCCTTCTTAAAAAGATCAGTGTTTTCAAATTTAATTTTAATTAAATGATTTCATCCACAATACTTAAGATTAATTTAATTGCTCTTTCCTTTCTTCTTCCTTCCTTCTGTCCCTTCTCCAAACCTCCTTTCACCTTTCCTCTCTCTATCAACGGTACATGTGGGTAATACATGTATAACAATTACTCG